AGCTGGAAGGGCGAGGCTTCCCGAGCCCACTCTGGGAGCTGACTCAGCAGGACCGAGGGAAGACCCAGGCATCAGCCTTCTGCACCTGCTCCCCATAATTCTGACGCTAGTAGAACGAGTGCAGCAATATGGCAATACGGCTCAGCATCAAATGCTGAGCATGAACCTGCAGCCTGCACACTGGGATTCAGCAAGGCAGAGCCAGAGCTTAGGGAGGGTGGGCCCAGAAGCCGTGGCTGGGGTAAAAGTCATGTGCAATCAACATTACCCCTGGAATGCTTCCTAAAACCAGTTACTGCTAAGTCAATTCCAACGCATGGTGCCAGTGAGCAGGGATTACTGGTGGAGGCGTCACAGCGGTACTCCCCCACCCTGGAACTTCCTTCTGTGCAGAGGATGCCATCCACCGGCAGCACTCTGATGGCCTGATGGCAGGCAGCGGCCTCACTGAGGGGGTCGACTCTGAAGACTCAAACTTCCCTTGGGTGGGTCTTGCCCGGAGGGAGGGAGTGGTGAGCCCGCAGGGTTCGGCCCCTGAACTGGTGCACTTCAGCAGTGACGATGGCACTTTGGTTCTCTGTTTGCTGGCTCTTTCATCCTATTTCCCAACTGGTTTAGAACTCAGGGAAGATGCTCGGCTAGGATACTAAAAAGGAAAGCCCCAAGCCCATTGCTGTCAATTTTGAATCATAGTGACCCCATAGGAGTAAAACTGCCCCACAGGGTTTCTAAGGCTGCAGTCTTCACACAGACTAACACGTCTTGCCCCTGCAGAGCAGCTGGTGGGTTAGGGCCATCTCCCTTCTAGTTAGCAGCCGAGTGTTAACCACGAGCCCCCAGGGCTCCTTCAACAGGGATTGTTATTGTTAGATGCTGTCAAGTTGGCTCCGACTCAGAGCGACCCTGTGCACAACAGAATGAAACAGTGCCCGGTTCCGCACCATCCTCACAATCCTTGCTACGCTTGAGTCCACTGCTGCAGCCACTGCTGTCAATTCCCTTAGGAATGGAACCTGGTCATAATGCAAGGGCTGTCTGTACCCATAACACACTTGCTACTTCACAGACCACCCTGGTTTGCAATCATCTGAGTCCCTTACTAGACCTGAGTTCCTCCAGGTCAGGGATGTCATCTGATTGACACTCTGAAGCGTCTGATACATAGCATATACTCAGTAAATGCTGAAGGTTGGGGAGGGGGCTACATGAACTAAGTTAGATCTGAGTACACGAGGCTGAACACAGCCAAGTGCTCAAATACCAGAGGCAGCAACAGCAATGGGGAAGGGTCATGCTCTGGAACCTTACAGACACCTGTTTGGGCTCAATCCTGGCCCTGCCACTTAGAACTGGGGCCTTGGCACATGATCTCTCTGAACTGTTTTATAGTCGACTCTGATACATACCAACAACATAGGACAGAGCATAACTGCCCTACAGGTTTCCAAGGCTGCAAATCTTTACAGAAACACACTGCTACATCTTTCTCCCCCAGAGTGGCTGATGGATTTGAACTGCCAACCTTTTGGTTCACAGATGAGCACTTTAGCCACTGCGCCACTAAGGCTCCTCACTGGATATGCATATTGTCAACACATTATACCTTCTCTGACTATGGCTTGCCTTCTCACTCTATTATAGTGGACTATAGATGAGCAGAAAGTCTTAATTTTAACATAGTCCAATTTATTAATGTTTCCTGTGACAGCATTTTTTGGGTCAAGCTGAAATTCTCACCCACTTCAAAGTCATGAAGAACTGCTATGTTTTCTGTTGCAAATGTTACTGTTCTACCCTTCATATTCTGACTGAAAGTACACCTAGAACTGATTTGGTGCATGGGGTGAGGTACTGGCCAAATGCCTTGTTCCCTATCTTTTGGCCAGCATCATTTACTCAAAAGGCCCTCATTTCTCCACTGCAATCTAGTGTCACCCTTGTGATTAACCAGGTGACTGGATATGCGTGGGTCTCTTTCTGGACTCTCTAGTTTCACTGATCTATTTGCCTGCGCTTACCTAATACTACACTGCCCGATTGCTGCAGCTTTATAATAAAACAAGTTACGTGGGAATGTAGTCTGATAAACATTTTCAGATGCTAACAAAAGGCCGGAGGGTCAATCAACTCCACTCAGAGGTGCCTCAGGAGAAAGTCCTGGCAATCCACTTGTACAAAACCCGCCAATGAAAATTCTCTGTCCTGTAGGGTTACTATGTGGAGCACAGCTGTACTGACACAGAGGGGCCACCAGGAGTCCAAGTCGACTCCTCAGCAACTACTTTTTTTAAGTCTTCCACTTTCTTTCCCTTCCCCCCCCCCCAATATTATATTAGCTATTCTTGGCCCTTTGCACTTCCATATAAACTTAAAAATCATCTTGTCAATTTCCACAATATTGCTGTTGTTGGCTTCTGTCGAGTTGGCTCCAACTCACAGCGACCCTATAGAACAGAACGAAACACTGCCCAATCCTACACCATTCTCACAATCACTGCTACGTTTAAACCCACTGTTACAGCCATTGTGTCAACCCAGCTCATTGAAGGTCTTCCTCCTTTTCACTGACACTATTTTTCCAAGTATAAGGTCCTTGAAATCTTGTCATCCTCACTTCTAAGGAACATTCTGACTATTTCTTCCAATACGATCTGTTCATTCTTCAGGTAGTCCACAGTATACTCAATATATTTTCTCTGCCAACACCTTAACTCAAAGGCATCAACTCTCCTTAGGTCTTCCTTATTTATTGTCCAGCTTTCGCATGCTATGAGGCGACTGAAAATATCATAGCTTAAGGCAGGCGCACCTTTGTCCTCAAGGTGGCATCTTTGCTTTTTAACACTTTAAAAAGATCTTTTGCAGCAGATTTGCCCGGGGGAGTGGGGGGGGACTGATCCACAGAAATACCTGCAAATATTTTCTTTGAGATTGCTCTAAATCTATAGTCACATTTGGAAAGAACTGGCATCTTTATAATATTTGCAACATTTCTTTCAATGCTTTCTGGATTGAGGTCATGCATATCGTTGGTTAGATTTATATAGGTATCTGATGTTTCTGATGTTATTGTAA